GAGGGAGAGAAACACCACAGATGTGAATGATGTTAAGGCTGGTCATAGATGTCACCAAGGGCTCATGACCCATCTATCCCTTATTTTGTGTGTGCATGCATGTGTGTGCATGTGCACGTGCACGTGCACCCGTGTGCTGGGGTATATACGTGTGTGTATGTGTGTGTGTGTGTGAGAGAGAGAGAGAGAGTATTGTTGGAATCATTTTTGTGTCTTACGGACTTTATTCATCTAAATAATTTTTGTTAGATTCTCAGGAAGAGGGAGTGTGGTTGGACCCTTTTTTTCGCTTATAAATATGTGCTTATAATCATCACCAGACTGACATTAATTAAGTTCCTATTTAGCAGCATGTGCAATTGATCCTAAAACTCGGTTTTGGAAATGTGCAGGACCCCAGATATGTCAGCTATCCACCATGATACTTCCTCTGATCTAAGAATTGTTGGAAGCAAACTCAAGGATATATTAGGGGTATGGCCACTGAACCCCTTTGCAAAATCATTATTATTTTCTGTCTCCCCATCTTCTGACTGTCCCCTTTCGAGTGGAGAAAGAGCATGTTTTCCATTTTCTCCGTGACTATTTTGCTCTAATACTTTCTTTAGCTTATTTCAAAACCAGTAGGGTATAACAGTTTCTCCCCGATAAACCAACAGAAAAAATGAAAGAGACTTCCCTTGTAATTCATGTATTTGCCTCGTAGTAGCACAATTCACTTACATCTCTCTCTTTCTCTCTCTCCAGGTCACAACCACCTCCCTAAAAACACGTAAAGTGGTTGTTGAGCTCTGCGAAATCGTGGCCTCAAGGGGTGCTCGTCTCTCAGCTGCCGGAATTTTAGGCATCCTAAAGAAACTTGGGAGGGACACAATAAGCAGTTCCGGAACAAAGGAGAGGACAGTCATAGCTATGGATGGAGGTTTATTCGAGCACTATACCAAATTTAGTGACTGTTTAGAAAAAACACTAAAGGAATTGTTAGGGGAGGAGGTAGCAGAACATGTCGTTATAGTGCACGCCAATGATGGATCGGGCATTGGCGCCTCTCTCTTAGCGGCTTCTCACTCTCAATATGTAGAACTCGAGGAATCCTCATAAGCGGGCAGGCTCCATTGGTTTTGGTTTAATAAACGAGTATTCGAGCCTTTTTCTCTCAACGGGGCCAAAGAAACTTAAATTATAGCATAGGGTTGTAAGGGAATTGCTGTATTATTGGGGGGTTGGGGAGTAGGAAAAGTAGTTTTTTCCTGTCTGCCCATTCTTTTTCTTTATTTCTCTTTGATCTTTTTCCTTTTTCTTGTTCGGACATTGCAAATTGCTTTTCTATGCGGCGCTCCCCAGCAAGGAAATAAATGGGCTAAATGTAGATTTTCATCGAGTTAATTGATGTGTGTGAAATTTGTTGTAAATTTTTGATGGGTGTGAAATTTGTAGTAAATTTGGGATGACTTGAGCAATGAAAAGGGCCTGTTTGGATCCTTTTGCAGAACCTGGACTAGGGTCTCGAAATTTGTTTGGCACCAATCCGACACTAAATTTGGATTTTGAGTTCTCTCCCCATTTGCCTCCATTTTCACCCTTCCTATGTGTGTTTCTGTGTGATTTGCTTAAAGTTTTTCTTTAATATTAGTTTTGGGGTTTTTCTGGTGGTGGGCGTCTATAATGAAAGCTTCGTCTGAGTAATTTTAGGACTTAAAATTAGCCACAAAGATCTCCTCCTGCGGGAGGATAATCGCCATTTCCTCCCTCGGGCAAAATATGTATGGGGTGCGGGTTGTTTAGAACTGCGGCTCTAAACAATCAAAGCAAAGCACATATTAAGACAGTGTCAGAGAATGTGGTTTCAATACTAAATTTTAGTGATAGATATAAAATATATTTTTATATTTAATTATAAAACTTAAAGCTTAAAAAATAGTGTAGATCAAGTAGATCTATAAAAACTTGAAAAACTTGAAAATTGACGTCCAAAAATACATTGGAAGATGCACTATTTTCAAAATTTGAAATTCGTTTTTTTTTCATATATATATATATATATATATATATATGAGCAATGATTTAATGCAATTGTTGTATCATAGTATAATACAACGATACTTCCAGAAATTCATGTTTGTGGTGTTTGTATGATTTCAAATTTTGCACACGCACTCTCTTCATCTCAATAATCAATCCTAAAATAAAAAATAAAAAATTCAATTTGAACTCTAGATATGGTCAAAATGAGTCCCCTCCAAAAATGAATCTCGACCATTCATTTTGTGAATGTATCTTAGCCTTTATAAACTCAAAATCATTTTTTTCTTTTTTAACATTGTTCATCTAATGATAATAAAGCCATCCAAAAAAATTGGAAATGAAAAAATCCTTCTAAGGCTTAGATCTAAGAATCTCACCAAAATGAACGGCCTATGTTTATTGCGCTAAAAAAATACTTTTTAAGTGGTGTTTTCAATTTTTCATTTTTTTGTAATTGTTCACTAGAATGAAAATAGTGTATATTTCAAAATTTGAATCAATCAAATGGCCATAAGATAGTTTTTTAAGGTTGTTGCATCATGTTACGATACAACAGTTGCATGAAAATCATTGCCCTATAATCAAAACCTCCGCCGGTTTTCAACATGAGAATCTATTTGTTCTTCTAATATTTGGCTAGGTCAAGAAGAAGTCATCCATCTTGTTTGTTATTTTCTCTCTTCCAAACATAGTTGACCATACAATTGGTTTGCTTGGTGTTTCCTCAGTGAGAGTGAGGCAGGTGTTCTCATAAGCCTCCTTCCATGTCGGGGTAGCAATGGGCGGGGTAGCCCATCCTGACCCAATTTCAACCTGGCCCCAAAGAATTAGGGCTTGGGCCACAATATGTGGCCGAAGGGCAGGCTGGCCTGGCCTGACTTGGGCCACGGGCAAGATAGGGCTAGCCAGGTTTGGCCTGCCCAGCATTTTTGTTTCTTGTATGTTTCTCTTTTTTCTTTATTTTTTATTTAGCAGGCCTTAATAGGGCAATAGCTAGGGCCTGTGTTGGGCCCTATGGGGATCAAGGCCGGGCTAAGGCCAAGGTAGGCCTTGGCCTGACCCATTGCCAATCCTGCTTCCATGTGGGGATGTAAACGGGTCCGTCAAGTCTGAGTTGACCCCAACTAGGACCCGACCTAAATGGTCTTCGTTGGACCAAAACCTAGGTCAAGTCTAGGTCTCTATACTAAAAGAATTTATAAATTCTATTTTCATATATATTTAGTAAAAACTGAATAATACTAAAACTATGTAATATATTGCATCTAGTCAGCTCGACCCCTACCCAATTGAATCCAACCCCATCCCATTTGCTCAGAGATCGACCAAACCCACTTGTTGGGTCCACTTACCAGGTCTGGACCTAGAACTAGATCCGAACGTTAACCACTTGGGTTGAGAGTTTGACCAGACCCAATTGCTACCCCTACATCCATCTCCTACTAAGAGAGTGGAGAGGGGGGACCTCTACCAAGACCCGACCAGGATAACTTAAAGGCTGAGCAGGACCTGGATAGTAAAAGATATTAGTTTTGATCAAGTTATCTAGTTTCCTCAAAGGCAAACCTTCAGCCCAAACCAAAATCAGTTCTAACGGCTAAGTAGCTTAAAAGTGTGGGGAACCGTTTGGATCCATGGAAATGTATGAGAGAGAGAGGGAAATAGAGATTTTGAATGATATGATAGGAATTTTCATCATCTTATTTAAGGACAAAATTTGCTACACAGCTAAAAAAAGCATAGTTCAGTGCCTCATTCAAAGGGAATTTAACACTGGCTTGCCGGTAAAGTGACGACAACTGCAACATGAATCCTTGGTTCATTAAATGGTGACAGTAATGTCGTCATCATCATCAGAATATTTTTCCAACTATTTGAGGTCGGACTACAGTAATGTATGTACATTAAAAAAAATAAAAATCCCTCTAGGGCATTGAAATCAACAAAAAGATGACGTGCTACCGATGGCACATATCATCAATTTATTCCTTCTGTAAAATTTTCTCACAATAGATCTATAATATTTCTCAACCAAATGAATAACCAGAAAAAATAATCAAAATGTATGCACATCTGTTTACTCCCTCGAGTAAAGCTTTGTCTTGAAGTACTTTTAAGATCACAAACTTGGAGATGTAACCTCCTCATAAGCAAATATTGAAAAAAAAAACTATTCCAGAAAAAGGACAAACATAATGTATGCACCCAAACAAAGACAACGGATTAAGATTGTATAGAAACTATCCAATTTTTTAGATGATCAGATCTAAATGTTTAAAAATTGAACATCTATTTGGAAGTTATAACTATTTTACCCGAGGTTGCAAGTGTACAGTGTATCCGCACGATAGTACATTATCTCGTCTGAATTTTCAACAATTGATGGAGCTAATCACTGCGTAGTCTAGTGCTCAAACTTGCTCGTGATCTCTTAGTTGTCTTTCATTAGTTTTTTTTGTCTTTTTTTTTTATTGAAGCTTAATTTAATAATCCATTTATTTATTTTTTGACAAATATTATCAAATTTTTATTGCTAAAAGGGGAATTACAAAAGATTTACATCATATGAAATTAGAATAGAAGCAAGGGTAACTCTTTTTTTTTTTGGGAAGACCGTAAGTATGAAAATTAGCCTCCTTATAAACATGGTGAAAAGATATAATCAGGCTATCAACCATATCCATAGCACGAGCTCCTAAGGGACACATTGCTCTATCTTACACCATTTAATTACATTCTATAAGTCCCCCTCCACAATACAGAGAGTCCCAAAACTTTTTATTCTAAAAAGCTTTAGATCATGAAGTAGAGTCGTGAATTCAACAAAGTTAGTTGTAGCCAAACCAATCGGACCTGCATAACCAAATAGAACTGCCTCATTCCAATCTTTCACAACACCTCCAATACCCAATTCACCTGGGTTACCAAAAGAGCTTCCATCTAAATTTAATTTTAAATAGATATTTAGGGTGGCAATGGGACCGATGGCCCAACCAGGCCTGGCCATCCCTACTTTAAAAAGCTAGGGCTTGGGCCACAAAATGTAGATCAAGGATTGCCCAAGGGCAGCAAATCATGGCCTGGGGGTTGTCACCTGGCTTGGCCCATCTCAATGCGGCTCTCTCCTCTTCTTCGTTTTTTCTTTCTTTGATTTTTTATTTTATTTTATGGGATCTAGCTCGGCCTGCCTGCAAGCTTGAGCCAAGGCCTTGTAGACTTGGTCAAGGCTCTTATAGGGGCTAGGGCTGGGCCCAGCCCAGCCCAGCCCGTTGCTGGGCAAACCCTAAGTATTATTATTAACTAGAAATAGGAGCTCATAAATGGTTGTTTATAACGATGCATTTTTGCATGGAATTATGCTTAGAATTCCTCAAAATTCAATTCTTGGACTACGTGTTCTTGGACATGTTTAAATCGTAAATTTGAAGCTTCTCCAAATAAAAACAAGCGACAGTCACATGCTTCTCGTCAACCCCATAATCATTGACAATGCCCCAAAAAAGTGGGCCCCACCGTAGGGGCAATATAGCAATTAATTGGCATCAACTCTGGGACAGTATGGTATTTAATTGGCAGCAATTGCATGCTCTCAGGCTATTAGAACAACTCTATAGCCTAGGACTAGGGAGAGTTCGATATTTGAAAAGATTTTGTGCTCCCGCGGGAGCATTTTCTTAATTTGCTCCCTCGAGTGAAACTTTACTAGAGAGTCTCTTAAAGAGCCCAAAAATAGGGATGAGAACGGTCATATTGGGGTCATATTCGACCAGATATAGATCTAGATCTAAATAGTATATACATATATATATATATATATATATAGAAAAACCTTTCCAACGCCTATAGGCGAAAAGGAATAGTGATTTCACCTACCCTCATAATCGTTCAAATTTTATCGCTGTCACGATTGTCCAGTAGTGTTTTATTTTTTATTTTATTTTTATAAATTGGAATGACTTGAAATTTGAAGGGTCTGTACATCTTACTGAGGCACATCTAATAAAAATATAAAACAAATTATCAGTAAAAAATAAATTGACCAAAATACCTCTAAAACTTTTTGGGAGTAATTATTTTCATGTAAAATATTTTTTTTATAATTTTCAAAGATTCCCATATTATTGATGAATACACAATCCAAATTTCATGTCATTCCGATTTGTAAAAAAAAATGAAAAATAAAACACTACCGCGCGATGAACTTTGGACGGTGATGGAGGTAGACGAAAGCCTCATTCATTTTCGCCTATAGGCATTGCATAGTGTTTTCCTATATATATATATATATATATAAAATAAGAATTTACTGTTTAAAAAAAACGAGTTGAATATGGATTTGGATCCAGGTCAGATCTAGATCGCTCAAATTTCAATTCAGGCTTGAGCTTTGAGTCCAAATCCAAAATTTGGGTATATACCCAGATCCAAATAGGATCTAAAATCTAGATTTCATATTCGAATCAGGTCAATTCTCACCCCTACCCAAGATTTAACATCTTAAACCTAGTGAGTAACCTCAACGAAAAAGAAGAGGAAAAAAGGAATTCAATATGAAATACATAAAAAAGTTAGACAGGAAAAGGGCATGCCCAATATTTGGACGGTTAGATCTATGTGTTTTAAAACCCAGAAGTGTTTTGTTTTTTTATAGAAATAATCATAGGGTGATTCTGAAGTGAATGCCAAGATTGTAAGCTGAAAATATCATTTTATGTGCATTTTGACCTGAGGGAGCTAATTGACAATATGCTCCCATGGGAGCATAGTATACGCGCTTATTGGAAGCGTGTGGTAGTGGGTGTTACTGACGTTGAATAATGGATGGAAGGTGGTGGCCACAAGTGACTTTAAAGAAGTTTGCTAAATGATTAAAAAGTTTAAGCCAAAAGATTTCATGCTCCTGTGAGCTGAGTAAGCATATTTTTCATTTATTTCCTTAGGCAGAACTCAATCTAGGAGTTTTTTTAGGGCCTTATGTTTTGGGATGTAACCTCTTTAACCCGATAAATTAAAATTTGAAATTGCACTATCTATGGGGCTTGAAAAAAAATGCCTCAAAATTGAATAGAAACCATCCAAAATTTGAAGGGTGAGATTCGAGTGTTATATGACCTGAAATTCAAATTTTTTCTTTTGAATATAATAATTTTGTGATTTTTAAGTGGTTTCTAAAAATTTTTATAAAATAAAAAAGGGCTTTTATACTATGAGATTGTTTAATTGTTACAAGAAGGTCACAATCACACCTAGTCATTAGATGTCAAATTCGATGGTTTGGGGTTTGTCGTAAAGTTCGAAAAATTTATTTTTGGAGTGATTTATGAAAGGACTCTAAAATTTTAGGTCAAACACAAAATTCTCCGATTATAAGAGGAAATTACAAAGAAGGTCGGTCAACCTACCTTTTTCTTCGTATAAGAGGAGCATTTCGTATTTTACTTTAGGGTCCGTCCGTAAATCACTCTTATTTTTTTACTTTAAGTTGAATTATTGACACATTTATTACCTCTCGATTTAAAATATGACAGACAATAGTGATTGAGACCTCTTTATATTAAAAATAAGGAAACGTTTATCTAGAGCCAAGGCTCTAAACAATCAAATTTGAGCCTACCTCAAAACTTTCACTAGAAGAGGTTGTTTGGATGCCCAAATATCCTCAAATTGATCATCTCAACTTCAACATACATGGACATAAGAAAAAAATGGATTTCAAGTTGTGGAAATAGTATATTTTATAACACATTTTTTTGACCGTCAATTTTCAATATTTTCAATTTTTCATAAATCTGCTGGTTAACACTCTTTTTGAGGTTTAAACTTTATAAATAAGGATAAAAATATATATTAAGGCTCTCACAAAGATTTCTGGTATTGAAACCACATGTGACGACACTATTTGAAGGTAGGATCTAATTTGATTGTTTAGAGCCTAGGCTCTATACAAACCACACCCTGAAAAATAAATTTAAAAAAATATTTTCAAATTAGTCCTATGGGGGAATAAGTGTACAATATGTTCCCGGGAGCAGAGTGTTGGCCCTCGAAGACCAAAGGGTAATTCATAGGAGATCAATTTAAGGCTTACTCGTTAAGCATTCTCATTTCTTGGATGTTAAGTGAATTAGTTAATTAGTTATTATTATGTTTTGTTTGTTTCGAAGAAGCTGGCCTCGAGTCTCCACAATGAATAGCTCAATAATCCATGTATCAGACGACAAACGCACCCTTTAATCCTGTCTCTCTCTTATCTTTCATTATTCTTTTCCCATCTGTTTCTTATTTTTCATTATCATTTTCTCACTCGAAATAACCTGTTTCAATCTTTTATGCATTGCCACTTGTCCCAGTGATTCTGGTCATGTGAGGAGCCGAGCAGCATTTGAAAAATCAGACCGGAAAATGTAGTTCTGACGCCGGTAAACTCTTGTCATGGCATGGAAATCTTATTTTGTCCGATTGAAAGCTCTAAAAAATAATGAAAATTTGGTTTATAGTGCATGAAATTAGGGCCGGGCCGGGTTTTTTAGTCTTGAAAAACAAATGTGTTAATGTTCCAAAAAAAAAAAAGAAAAGAAAAAGGAGAAGCAAATGTCTCGGCTACAAAACGTAGCCGGACGGAGCGGGTAGGGTAAGGGCTACCCTGCCAAGATTTGGTCCGTTGCTAGCCTTACATGAAATCGAGAGTTGAATAAATATCTGGCCGTACATGAAATGGAGAGTTGAAGAAATATTTGACAAAATAGACCGTTTTTGGGGCAAAAATTGGCTAGGTAGTTAAGCAACTTGGAGTTAAATAAATAAATATAATAATAATAATAATAAAAAGGCTTTTAGGACTTAAATTTATCTTTCCAAATCAATGATTGTCGAGTTAGGATTATGAATAGGTAAATCTCAAGCTATTGTAATTTTTGGCATATAAAGCCGTCGTAGTCTTAGAAAATACTCTTTTTTTTTAAAAAAAAATTTATCAAAATACACCTAACATGTTAACTATTCAATATTAAAAAAAAAAAAAGGTTAAAAGAGGCTTATGTTTTATGAGAAAAAGTAAAGCTTCACATCAAAAACTTACCGAAAATTGCGGATTCGGCTTGGAAAAGCCTTCAAATCAATCAACTTGATCTTGACTATTATGGTTATGAAAAAAATCCTAAAAGTATTGCATATTACAACACATTATCTAACCATCTATTTTCAAGTGTTTATAACTCCCTAAAGTCAATACCAATTTTTGCATATCTTTTGCAGTCTACATTTCCAGACGAGGCTTTACTTTTTCTTTATATAAAACCTAGGCCTTAATGAAACTACATCATGGAATATTTTACCTTTTTGCAATTATTCTAAGATTACGTGTATTCTGATATATATTTTGAATTTAAATCAGAAAACATATGTAAAATGCTAAATATGGTGCGGGTTGTATAGAGCCGAAGCTCTAAATAATCAAAATAAAGGGCCCCTTCAAATAGTATCAAGAAATATGGTTTCGATATTGAAAATATTTGTGATAGCCTTAAAACATATTTTTATCTTTAATTATAGAATTTAAAGCTTAAAAAATAGTGTAGATCGAGCATATCTATGAAAATTTGAAAATCGTGAAAATTGACGGTCCAAAAATTCGTTATAAGATGCACCATTTCTAAAACTTGAAATCCATTTTTTTTTTTTATGTTTGTGCATATTGATGTCGAGATGATAAATTTGAAAATATTTGGACATTAAAACAACTTCAATGAAATTTTTGAGATGGGTTTTAATTTGATTGTTTAGAGCTACATCAACTTTTCCGAAACGCATTTGGATAAGTTATCTTTTTTTTTAAAAAAAAACCATGACTTTACTCTAAATTTCTATTTCAAAAAGCTTTGATCATTTATAAAAGTATCCGTTGTTTCTGAAATGACTGAAATATCCATGGTCCAAGACATCTGGACAACCACAAAACATCAGGTCACACCAAGGTATTTGAAAATGACTCAAGGGTAGAATGGAGAAGATTCCATTGGGCACTTTCTCGAGAGAGGTGGACGGTCCAGATCTTCCCTGCACAAGTTTCATAAATAGTGCTCTGAGGAGAATTCTTTACGTATGCATGAATCGAGCTCACACTCTGCAACGAAATGGACTGGTACTTTCCGGTGATGCTCCTCTGCATTTTCCGGCCACTTTTTGCAATTTCAGTCGATAATTCCGGTCCTCTCTGGGCCGTGAAATTCGCCATTAACGATCCAGAAAGCTCCCTTGAAACCTGGTCGAAAGGAAACTCTTCCAACTATTGCTCATGGATTGGAATCCAATGCGACGATTCAGGCTATGTCTCTGTTCTAGACATCTCAGACATGGGACTTTCCGGCCAAATATCGCCCGAAATTGGCAATCTCCAGCGATTAACCACCCTCAGCCTCGCTGTTAATGAGTTTTCCGGCCAAATTCCTGCTGAGATCGCCAGAATCTCGGGCCTCAACCTCCTGAACCTATCTAACAACCTCTTTAATGGCACTTTTCCGGTCAGTTTGTCAGGCCTGAAAAATCTCGAGGTTTTGGACCTGTATAACAATAACTTAACTGGGCCCTTACCAAAAGGAGTTGCAGAGATCTCAGGAATTAAACACCTCCATCTAGGGGGAAACTACTTTAATGGTGAGATCCCACCTGAATATGGAAAATTGAAAGAAATCGAGTACCTAGCTCTCTCCGGAAACGAGCTTAGTGGAAATATCCCAAAAGAGCTCGGAAACCTCACAAAACTAGAGCAACTCTATCTCGGTTACTTCAACTGGTTTTCCGGAGGAATACCACCCGAATTTGGAAATCTACGGCGACTTTTCAGGCTAGATATGGCCAGTTGTGGACTTTCTGGAGAGATTCCGGCGGAGATTGGGAACCTCACCCTTCTAGGCACTCTTTTTCTGCAGGTTAATGAGCTGACAGGAAAAATCCCACCGGAAATGGGGAATCTGCGGGTACTTAAGTCTCTGGATCTCTCTAATAACAAGCTTTCCGGCGAAATTCCGGCGAATTTTGCAGAGCTCAAGAACCTCAAGCTCTTAAACCTCTTTATAAACAGCTTGAAAGGTACTATTCCTCCTTTTGTTGCAGAGTTGCCTGAGCTCGAGGTTCTTCAGCTTTGGGACAATGAATTTTCAGGCGAGTTGGATGGAAAGTTTGGCCGGAATCTGAAGCTTTTGGACCTATCATCCAACAAATTAGCCGGGAAAATTCCGCCGGAAATTTGCTCAGGCGGCCTACTCCAGACCCTGATCCTCCTGAACAACTCGTTCTCTGGCCAGGTACCTGGATCTCTTACCACGTGTCAATCTCTGAAACGTGTACGGCTAGGAGACAACCTACTGAACGGGTCATTACCTTATGGTCTTTTAAGCCTTCAAAATCTTACTCAGTTAGAGTTAAAAAACAACAAGCTGACCGGAAAATTCTTTTCCGGCAATCTTTCGGTGTCTGAAACCCTACTAGAGCTGAGCCTCTCAAACAACCAACTCAATGGAGAAATTCCAGCCATTATTGGCGATTTCGGGTCACTTCAGAAGCTCTTTTTAGCCGGAAACCAATTTTCCGGCGAAATCCCACCTAAAATATGCAGCTTAAATGATCTCTCAGTGCTTGACCTTAGCCGGAATAACTTTTCCGGCGAGATTCCTGCCAAGATCGCGGGAATGCGATCCCTAACTTACCTAAACTTGTCGAAAAACCATTTAGTGGGTCAGATTCCAGCGGCGTTTCAGGCCATGAAAGGTTCAGCTTCGATGGACTTCTCTTACAACGATTTGACGGAGCCATTAGTGGGGTCGAGTGGGTTCGGTGAAATGAGCCGTGTAAGGGCTTGGTGGGCGAGCCTTTTGGTGCTTGCGGGTTTGGCGGTGGGCGCGATAGGGTTCGTTGTGGGCTTGTTGATTAGGGCTCGGGTTTTGAAAAAGGCAAAGAAGAACACATGGAAGCTCACAGTGTTCGATGAAAGGGTGGGTTTTATGAGGTGTGAGGACGTTTTGGATTGCTTGAAAGAGGAGAATATCATCGGAAAAGGAGGCTCAGGGACCGTTTACAGAGGTACCTCTTTCTCTTGGTTGTTTTCTGGACGAAATTTGGTAGTTTTTTTACCCGGAAAAAGATCGATCACCCTCATAATTCAACTCATTGTGCCTGAAAATTAACAGGGTTTCCAATCGGGCTGGAAAGGGGCCTGGGCTGACGACTCTTGGCCCCTGGCCCTGTTTAGGCTGCACCTAATACACGCAAGGGAAAATATTGAAAAAATAAAAAACAAACTGGTCCCGCCTTATTGGGGCCTCGCCGAGCCATGAAGCCAACCCAGGCCCAAGTTTTTTGGGGCCTTAGGGTCCGGTCAGGCCGGTTATTTCTATCTTGATGGCGAAAGGACCCATTTTGAAAATGTAATTTTGCATTTTTTTTTCTTTTTCTATGCAAAATTTCCAATTTTTGTTTGTGATTTTATGCATCCATTTTGCCTACTAAATTTGTGTTTTATAAGAGAAATCTTACCCTTTTTTCTTTTAAAATTGGGAGTGATTCCATGCAATTGTACTATAGTAATATAATGAAACAATACCCCAATTTATAAATGGAAAAAGTTTACGTAGAGTCGAGGCTCTAAACAATCAAATTAGAGCTGCTTCTTTATAAACATACACTATTTTCATTTCTAACGAACAATTACACAAAAGCAAAAATTGAAACAACAATCCAGAAAATATATTCTTAGCCCAATTAACATTGACAATCCATTTTAATAATATGTTTAGATCTAATGAAACTACTTAAAATTATATCTAAATTTTATAATTTAATTTCAAAATCTCATAAGACACGTGATCTTAACTTAAAATAAAAGGTTAAATAGTTCATCTTTTTTCGATATTTTGATAAAGTTGGATAAGATTCCCTTAAAAACAAACAATTCAATCCATTTCCACTTTATTCCTTTATTTTCCTATCGAAAGGTGAAAGGAGTGGACGTTTTCAGTACTAGTAAGCCGTAGGGACATTAATATGCTGGTGCTACTTTATATTTAGGATTAGGATCATGTGATCATGTCTGTGAGTTTTGTTGCCTGAAAGGAGTCAACCTTTCCTAGAGTTGGACCCCTTTATCCTGGAGATTTGATGTAAAGGCCCCATCATGCCGGGAAATGGACGTACACGCCTTCTTTCTCTCTCTAGACCTCACCTTATCACACACTCTTTCTCCATATTTATATCTCTCTCTAACTGGATGTGGGCTCGGACGTTGATCAACCGGCTTAATCGGCAAACGGACGAGTTCAACCGTTCTTATCAGATAAATCCGTTAAAAAGCTAAAAAATATAAAAATAATAATAAAATATGAAAATTATAATTAAAGAACACGATTAAACAAAACACATCATAATAAAATTGAAAATTAATTAAAAAATATAGATTTTAAAAAGTAGATTTGTGTCTAGGAGTATTTTTAAAAATTTTCAAAAAAATAAGAAAATGTAAAAATAAGTATTAATGGTGAAAACAATTTCCAATATTTATTATAATAATGAAAAACATTAGAAAATGTATTACAAACAAACTTTCTTATTTTTTTAGATTTTATATAATTATTTTTATATTTCTTTTAAAAATATCCAATCAAAACCGGCCGAAACCGATCTAACCTTGCGGTTACCGGTTGAACCGCCTACATTGACCTTTCTCTCCCTCTCTCTCATCACACACACACTTTATCTCTTCATACACTCTCTGCCCAGCATTCATTATTCTGTCTTCGTCGAACACACGCGTATCAAGTGAGCACACAATTATGAGTCTTATACACTTCATTTATTTTTGTAATGTATTTATGAGGCTCAGACAAATTTTCTTTTTGAATGTTGATTCGTACACATATATATCACGCACGTAGGGACTAACTCATAGATGAATACACGTGCATGGTGCACCCATGCATTTATATGAAACGAAAAAATAAAAAATATGAGAGTGTTGAGAGCAGACTCGATCACACTAATTAGACCGTTGAAAAAATTAAGAATTGTTTTATAATATATCTAATTTTTTTTATTCATTTTAAATTCAATCCAATTAGCTTGACTAGTGATTGGACTAGTTTTGATTGGGTCAAACCCTTTACCGGTTCAACGGAATAAAATTGAAAAAGTTTCATGCGCTCATAATATGAAAGGGACAGGAGTACACAGTAAACTCAACATCAATTTTTGATGCATATCCTAATATGGTGGGTGATGTGTTGTTGCCCACTTTTATAGCACCCAATTGACAATATGTTCTACATGGTCATGGTAACATGATGACCATGTGGATTATCACAAGCATTCAAACGGGTTGGGTGATGATGAAAGGATAGTGAAAGGTAGAACGAAGTAATAACATGTTTGGTGGGACCCATTTTATTGATAACCTCATGTAGACTTGGAAACATGCCAACCCTAGTCTTAGCCTGGCCCTTTTCCATTGAGGGTTGGTACATGCCTTACTGTATCAGGAACGGGATAAAGAGGCCCTGGCCTGGCCTATTGGGAATGGGCCGGGCTAAATAAATTTAGATAAAAACAAAGCAAAAAATAAAGAAGTTAGGGTTGGGCGGTCCGACCCTATCATGGCCAGAGGGACGGGCCTGCCATGGCCTAAGCCCTAGTGTTCCACCTGGCCCATTGCCAACCTAACCTCATCGTCATGTTCGTATCATGACTATATGTATCACATCATACGTGCCAACAAATGGGTTCTACATCTATGTCTGTAAGTTACCTTTCTGAATTACACAAAAGAATTCATTATTATTATTTTTTCTTAATATCAAAACCAGTGTTCAAGGGCACATTTAGTACACGTGAAAATATTTGTGTGAAATTATTTTCACGTGAAAAAATCTTTCATGTTATTAAGTGTTGGTCTTTTTTCACATAAAAACAGGTCCCAATACATTTTTTTAACACCAATTGACATCCAATTGATGTAGAAAGACTCCCACACCTCATTACATTAAGTTTTTTTTACGTGAAAATGCTTTCATTGAAGTATTGTTATTCGCCGATCTGGATAACATATCGATCTAATGCCCTTGGACTTGCTTGATTCCACAAGGGAACCAGGCGATCGGAAGCTATTGAATCACTTGGTTCCTACATATTATGCTTTTTATTATTTTTTATTTTTTTAAAATTGACCCAGATTGGATTTCCAAATGGTCTAATTCACCTAGCTAATCCGGTTTTTAAAACATTGATGAATAACTAATTTTTGTTTATAGGGATAATGCCCAACGGGGATCAAGTGGCGGTGAAAAGAGCAATGTGCTCGATGCAATCTTCATTTCTTCACAATGGCAACTCCACGGATATACATACACTCGGGAGCATTCGGCATAGGAACATAGTCCGTCTTCTAGGCTTTTGTACAAACCAAGAGACCAACCTCTTTGTTTATGAGTACATGCATACTGGTAGTCTTGGTGAAGTTCTCCATGGAACGGATGGATCCCATTTGGATTGGTACACCAGGTATATGATCCTTGCTTTATCTAGAGTGGTGTGAGTACTATAGTATTAGTGAACGGTTACTATAGCATACTACCGGTACTACTGTAAATTGTATTAATAGAGCAAGTGTGTAAGTATGTGTGCCTGCGTCATATTGATATCGCTTGTATATTTTAACCAGTGTTATCGGCTGCACTGAGCCCCCCAATATGCACTTTGGCTTTTTCGGTTGGGTCATCAAGTCCAAAATACCATAGAACCAGTCTCGACTAGCTGAAGATAGGCCAAGCAATGGGGCCGAGCCCCCTTGGCCATTGCCCGGCCCTTGTCCCTAGAGGGCCGATCAAAGAACCAGGCCAAACAGGCTCGGCTAAAAACAAATGGAAAAAAAAAAGGATTACCAAGAAAAAAGAGGAGCCATCCCTGTCGTGGCCCTGATCCTATTTTAAAGGGCCGGGCTCACCTGGTCAGGCCGGGCCACTTGGTCCATTGCAAGCCCAAGCTAGATACTAGTTGGAGCGGTCTGAACAGGTTATTTTTCGTGTTCAGTAACCCGACTCTAACCCATAAAATTGGACTTTTAAACCTAGTTTTGGTTGGATCTTGATGCAATTTTTTTCGTTACGTCTCAGTTTTCAATTTCACCCTGCTCACACCCAAAATTTGTAATATGATCCTTAAGTTCTTGGCTCTTAGCCAAACAATCTTGATGCTTACTGAAAACTCTACCTAGTCTCTATTTCTACTCTCACCTGCAACCCAATATTTTTAGATTTTCATAAAATTTGGCCAAATTTCCCAAATTTGAATCCATTTTTTTGGATGTTCTTCTTATTTGTCCTTATTTATGAAATTTTAATTAATTCTCTGACTGTTTTACACCTATTTTTCAAAAAGTCATTTGTTTAGTCCTATTAGTTTCAGTTTGACTCAATGGTCCAGAACTTATAACACTGGTCCTAGCCACCAAGCCTAGAGGTCAAAAGCTCTTAACAAAGATGGAATTTATGGATGGAAAAAGTTTCAGGCTGTCCCTATTCAATTGTGTCCCATACCAAAAACCCATATTAGAGATGCATTTAGGATCTGAAATACATTCCACTTAGATCCATGATTTTGCAACTCGAAAAATAGTTCAGATCAAATGATATGCTAAGAATGAAAATGAACGATCCAACATCAACATTCAAAATGGTAAATGTTTAAGGTTCAAAGTCTTTTTTCATTCCAGCATTCATAACTGTGGTGGTCAAGATTTTAACATTTAAAATTTTAGATCCAAGAGCCATATTAGAGATTGTTCTTTTGCAAGGAGGCCCATTTGAATCGGAACTAAACAAAACCCTATCCTTCACAGATAGAAACAAATTATTTGTTCTAGTTCAAGATTCATCAAATTCCTTGGTGAAAGTTCATTAATGGATTTGTCTCCTTTTTGTGTTTTTAAAGGTGTAAGATCGCAGGAGAAGCAGCAAAGGGGCTTTGTTACTTGCACCACGAATGCTTGCCACCAATAGTGCATCGCAATGTTAAGTCAAATAGCATACTATTGGACTCACATTTTGAAGCACACATCTCTGACTTTGGCCTGGCTAAGTTCGTGAAGGAACCCGGTTCAGAAATGTCTGGTTTGGTTGGATCTTATGGCTACATTGCACCAGGTGAAATCCATTATTCTTTTGCAAAAGTAGTTGATTTAGTGATTTTAGGACATTTCATTTTCACCACAACAATTGAGAGGGGCCTCGAAAGATATTATTTTGACTAAATTACATACAAATAGTGGTAGGGAGATGTTAGGGGGGATAAATGGGCCAGGTATACAAGCCCACTTGGTGGATCAACCTGACCAGGGTCGAGGTCAAGATGTGCTTGTTGGATCTGTTTGTCGGGTTTCTGGGTCCACTTGACATGTGACCCACCTTGTGCTGTTCCAGCTTGGATCTAACGAGAACAGGATGCATGGGGTCATGGTCGATCCTCCCTATCCCGATTACACACACATATAATGATCTAGTTCAGACGCTCCACCCGGGTTGGGGTCAACCTGACATGGACCTAACCCATTGACAGGCCTAAGAGATATCCATATTCCTAAGAGGTCGGCGCCTTTTAATATTAGGTGATTTTTGTCCATTTGAACCTATGTTGTGGATCCAATGGTTCCCCATCTTTTATGTCCTTGAAAATTAGTGTATTTGTTTAAAGATCTTATTTTCTCACCCATGCTTGTCGCTTTAAATCCTATTCTTCAATGTCTTAAAAAAAAAAAAAAACAACGAACGGAAAAGAAAATAAATTCATGTCAAAAACTGATTTTTGAACAAATTTATCCCTGTGACCAAACCACACCTTAACCAACATGCAAAAGGTGAAACTAAATGCTAATTGTGGATCTGATCACCACATTGCAGAGTACGTATTCACATTGAAGGTGGATGAGAAGATTGATGTGTATAGCTTTGGTGTGGTACTACTAGAGTTGATAACTGGGCGAAAACCGGTTGGAGGATTCGGAAATGGGGTGCATATTGTCCAATCGATAAGGGACATGAATGGCTCAGATGCAGAGATCACAGAAAACATCCTAGACCCAAGACTCCATGGAGTGCCTATGAACCAAGCCTTGCATTTGTTCAAAGTGGGCATGCAATGTGTTGAAGAACAAAGTGTTAAAAGGCCCACAATGAATGAGGTGTTGCATAACTTGTTGGAGATTTTGAAGTCTATAGATCCAAGCATGGCAAGGGAAGACAGCATCTAAGTGAATTTTTTTTTTTTTGGGTGGGGTTTTGATTGGTGTAAAGTATTTTGGCTAAAATTTTTCTCACATTTTATAGAAAAAGAGAGAAGAAAGAGCAAAAAAGGCTAGAGAAAAGGTGTGGTGGGTAAACTGTTGTAGAATTGGGCAATGTATTTATGTGGGGGGTGTGGATGTAACATGACTATTTTAGTACTATCACTCTTTTTGTGTGAAAAGGTGTATTATTGCGGCATGCCTTAGTGGGTGTTTCATCATTTTCTCTTTTTCTTCTTTTTGTAATTTTAATTATAAAGCTCCTTATTTTCTTTTTGATTTTCCTTGTTCTTTTACTTTCACTACCAAAAACTTTGGGCTTTTAGAAGCATGATTTGTATTTGGTGATACCAAATCTATCACTTTTCCAGCTGCAATAATTATGTCAACTTGGTGCACTCACAGTCTTCCATTCATACCAAGATCGGAAGATCCAATACTAGTATATGGGCCTGTTTGGATGAACAACTCATGATGAGTCACGAGGAAGAATATTTTCATACTCAAATAGTGATTGAAGTGAGGCATGTGGCCCTGCTTCAGCCAACTCACCATTAAGGACTGTTTGGGAACCCCTTTTATTTAGAAAACATCACAAAATGCTCCAACACAGAGCTAGCCGGTCCTATACAAAATGCGTTAATGCCAACAATTGATTGGACCATTGAGTTAAACAATCGGATTGGTAATGTGGATCGGGCAACACAAAAACCGGTTTGAATTGGTAAATCGGCATTCCAAATCGTTGTTTTACTGTGCAGGAAAAATAGTGAACGGACCAAAAACTTATCCAGATAAGTGAATTGGCATTTTTACTGTAGAAAAACCGCTTTTTTACTATAGTACAATGCCGTTTTACTATAGCAAAACGCTGGTTCTCTTCTAGATAGTTTCCTATAACTTTGACATAATTGGCATGGGGTGAACGATTCCCAAATCAAACCGGATGATTTTGTGTCGACCTAGCTTTTTTTAAATTATTTAGATTGGACATCTAGGTGTAAAGCACGATTTTGGTATGGCCTATAAGAGTGGTACCAAACTTCGGCAAATTATGAGCACAAACGGGGTTTAAGGTTGGCTAGTAAGATGAGGGGGAATAAGTTTCTTTGTCGTGAGGGAAACGACCACATTCATGGAAAAAACCGGTTTGGACTAAGTTCCTGATTTAAGGCATTCAAGAACAAACGGTCTCTAGACTTGCCCTTGCAATATATAGACAAATAGAATTTGGAATATGGCACATTTTGACCCCGAATTTTCTAACAATGAAAAAACCTTACATTCCAGTGAAAAGAGCGTTATCAATTTTAGTATGGAAAAGTACACAAAAAAGACCATTTACATTTAATACAAGAAGGTCATAGTCACTTGTGTTCATCATATTTCAAATTGGATGGTTGTAAGTGTGTCATTGACTAGATTCAAAGTTCAAACAAAATTATGAAATTTTGTGCCACAACTTAAGATATCAAGTTTGATATCTAATGGCTAGTAATAATAATAAATGCTATCAAGTTTGATAGCATTTGTGACCTCCTTATAATAAAGATAAATGGTCTTATAATGTACAATCCCTTCTAGAAATTGTATAATATAAGACTGTTAACTTTTGTACAAGAAAGTTAAAAATCCCTAGCCATTGTACGTGAAATCCAACATCTTGGGTATATTGAAAAGTTTTCAAAATTCTTTTTGAAGAGGTTGGTTAACGGCACACCTCCAACTGCTTAATTTTACATTTGAAAAAATGCTGATTGTGACTTCTTTATATCAAAGATAAATAATCTTATTAAATACTTTCCACTCTTTATAAAGAACATAAAAGTGAGGACCTCAAGTTTACTATGACAATTTTGTAAAAGAAATAAAAAGATATGCCAATTGTGAGATGCGGACTTATGAGATCTTGTTATTTTTGGGCATGCATAATCGAACCACAGTGAGAAAACCAGATAATATATCAAGCATGAGACCCAAGATACTCCCCTAGCCAAAAACTTATAGAAAATCCCAGCCAATAAAAAAGACCTGAGTAAAACTTGGTGAGAGATAATATTTACCTTGAATTTTAATGCTAAATTGTTTACGTTCATTCTGCGCCGATCCTTGGCATGAAGGCTTTAGGAATTCCATTAACCAGAATTTTAAGGGGAGCGTCTACATAAACTAACTATAAAAAATAGATCATATATCTGTATATATTTGTCACAAGAAAGTCACAATCATAATAGAGTAGTAGGTATCATACTATGATATTTAGAGCTTCATATCACTATTCTCAAGTTAAAATTTAAAAACCTAAAAGGGTCACAATCACTCTAGCCATCCAATATAAAAATCTAATTGCTAAGAATACATCACAAAGTTCAAGAAATATTATTTTGGACTTGGAGCCCAGCAAGTGGCACAACTTGGCTACATGACATCATATGTAATATCAAAAATGACGGTGGCCTAATTGTATTAAAGTTAAATGCTCTTGATCTAAATATTACCTAAAGGTGTGGTTTTCATAAGGTTGCAACTTTAGATAATCAAATTAAGGTGCGCCTCCAAACTTTGTCATTAGATGTAATTTTGGTATTGAAAATTCTTAAGATGGTACGAGAATCTATTTTTGTCACTAATTTTAAGCTCTACAAATGGTTCAAATCAAGCAAATCTATAAATGCGTAAAATCTTGAAAATGGATTGTGCAGACAATGTGTTGTAAGATATATTAGTTTTAGGACTTGAAATCTAATTTTTTCTCCATATGTATACATCTTGATATGGAGATGATCGATTAGATGTCTTTCCAACATCAAACAACCTTTTTGTTGGCACACCTTAATTCTACATTTTAAGGTGACAACCTTATATAAACTTCTTCCTTATCTAAAAGAATAAACCTTTTTTTAACTGTAATATAAACCAATTATCTTTCTTGGAAATTATTTAGTTTTGAAACTAGTTTCACACCTCCTAAGAGGGAAGATCCACACAAATATTGCTGGGCAAATCCACAAAAGCAAATGCACTCACTTCACATGCCTTACCACTTGAGTACATGGCCATGCTTTATGTACAAGTTTCTCACAAAGACTATGAATACAACTCTTTAACAAGCAAGCATCATAATCACAGGAAGTTGTGATAAGTTGTAAGCTTGGTTCCTTTCACCCATGGAAAGATTAAGCTGCCATTTTAAATAAATCTTATACATAGAATACACATAAAAGATCATCCCTTTGATTAATGATAATCCTAAGTAGCTCTAGCTTAAGTAAACAATGAGGTAATCTTCACTCATTTACTGAAGTGCCCCATTTGATGGGATGGTTCCAGTCTTTCCTCAATAAGGATAAGGTATGTTGCTTGCTGCAATGGATGGGCATCAACAAGAACCATGAGATTGGGAAAACTAAGGGTGTGATAACTGGGGTTTCACATTTTTTGACTGCATAATAATTACTGAAGGATTGGGATTGACTCTCAAGTCAATGAAAAATGAGGATCTACTAAAAATGGATTGTACCATTTTTAGCAGTAGAATTCCATGGGGAAGGGTTGTGTGGATGACCCTATGTGATCAAGGCGCCTATAAAAAAAAAGAAAAAAAAAAGAAAAAATAGGTATTTACTTACTGCCAGTTGAATAATAATATACACTGTATCTAGGCATTTTGAATTAGCTTTTTTAGGCACATTCTTGTTTTCTATTTTTGAAATTTGGGATAACTTTCTTTGCAATATTCTGCTATACATTGAAAATAACAAATTGTCTAATTAGAGGTATTTGAGAACAAGTCTTCAAATGACAATTGGATGTGAAAATGGATGGTTGTCTTTATTTCATTAACCAAGCTTAAAGTTTAAAGAAATGTTTTTGAACTTTATGACACATCCAGCTATAAAATTTCAAATCGGATGGTTATAAGCAATTGTGACCTCTTTGTACCAAAAATAATGGTCTTATTGTATACAATCACATTCATTATTACGATAAACGCATGGCGCCCTACATGAAATATGAAACCTATTTATAGAAGATAGTCTATAATGAAGATTTTACTCTAAATTAAGCAATTAATAGGTTTCTAAATGACATTAATATAGATATAAAGATGCTATCAGATCAAGAAGGAATTCAAGGGAAAGTTGTGGGGAGTGTCTAGGGATACAAAAAAAAAATCAGTTTAAGGAAAAATAGGAAATATGAACTAAAATTATTTTGAATGAAAACTTACAGGGATAAAACCAAAAGGTAGGGCAGAAAATAAAATAAAATAAAATCAGCATATATATTGGCTCCTGGGGAGAACATTGTACCCTGATTCCCCCAGGTTAAAGGCTTACATTGCGGTATTTTTTTGATCTTAAGATTTGAGATCCACTTTAGAATCATGAGATAAATATTTCTAAAATAGAAAAATATCAGAACATTTAGATCTCACCCATCCAAAAATCGAGTCATCTCTGTTCAATATCGAGACATCATTTATTTGAAGCAAAATGCCTTTTGGTCGCTAGATTGAGCAGGTTGCAATTCTTAAAAATTTGGGTTCCTAAAAATACTCCTAGACAGGATGTTTAGGCAAGAAAGGACAACCAGTAGGACAATATGATCTTTTGGTGTATAAATAATTTATAAGGTTGAGGACCTAAACAATCAAAGTAAGGCGGAACCTTAAATAGTATCAAAATCTTTATGATGGCCTGAATGTTTATTTTCATATCTAACTATAAAATTTAAAGTTTCAAAAATAGTGTGGATCGAGTAGATACATGAACACTTGAAAATCTTGAAAATTAACGGTCTAGAAAATGCATTACAAGATGCACTATTTCCAATACTTGAAATTCATTTTTTTCACATTCCTACATCTTGAGGTTGAGATAATCAATTTGAAGATATTCAGGCATCCAAACAATCTCTTGTAGTTAATTTTTGAGGTGCACCATAATTTGATTGTTTAGGACCTACCATTATATAAACATTTTCCATAATCGAAATACAAGTAATGACTAAATAATGATAAAAGAAAATAAAATAAGGGGCAAAACAAGCATTAAAAATAAGGGGCAAAAGAAGTATTAATCATCAAACCAAAGTTACAGTCAAGGACTTAGTAGAGAATGATAACAGACCAAAACATAGGTAAAAACATTTTCCTATAAGAATTCAGACTTCCCTCACTAAAAAAATGATTGGTAC